TATGTATGCAGATAAGCCTTGAAATTAGGCAAAACAGCAAAGTATTTTTCATGATCACTAGGTAATTTTTCTGATGATCATTATAATTTCTAAACTAAATTACTTCAGATTTACATTTAAACGAGCTTTGATCATATGAAAAGATATTTATCATAACCAGTGAGCATGACACATGAATCAATTTTAACACAAACAACCAAACAAACAAACAACATTTGTATACCGGCCAGTTTAATCCCCGCCAGGGGGGTTGACCGGTCCATGAACTTTTCTACGCCAAACGTCTCTATCTCTCGCCATATCTCTCGTTATACCCATCGCCTTCATATTACTGTTCATAGCATCCATCCATCTCTTTCTCGGTCTACCTCGTTTGCGGACTCCATCAACATTCATATACAACGTTCTACGAATTTCAGCACTTTCTTCCCTCCTTTCCACATGCCCAAACCACCTCAAACGCTGGCGCCTTACCCAATTTCGATACACCCAACACCAACTTCTTCTCTAATCTCTTCACTTCAGAATCCTATCCATCAACGTTACACACACATCATCCTAAGCATTCTCCTTTCCGTCGACGCCAATCTTCTCAGGTCCTCTGCTTTCGGCGCCCAACACTCTGCTCCATATCCCAAAACACTTCTAACACATGCCTTGTACAATTCTCCCTTCTGCTTCAACGAAGTCGACTTTCCGCACAACATTCCCGACAACTCTCTAAAACTCCACCACGCTACTTGAACTCTGTTCCTCACTGCTTGCTCGCACCCTCCACCATCATTTAACACATCGCCCAGATATTTAAACTCCGATACACCTTCCAAACTCACGTCACCCAGTTCAAACCGTTCAATCGCGACTCGCCCACCACTTCGACACGTCCCGCACTCAAAATCAGTTACTCTTGTCAATGCACCACGGACACCTGAACATCTTCCATGAACCCACTTACATGAACCAATTTTAACATTCATGTAATTATATAATTAAAGACATGTTGGTTACAATCTGTTTGTATTTGCAAATACAATGCTACTAGTGATTGCTATATAGCGCCCCTTGCATATACTTGCAGAAGATAATAGTCTAGTGAAATGCCTAATAAACATTTATGGCATTAAGCTGTCCTTGACTGCAAATTTTCACTCTGATAATTTTTGCTTAATCTTTGGCAAAAAAAAATTTTGAGATTTTTCTCAAAAGGTGAATTTTACAGCACTGATGTGGAGAGATGGGTAAAGAGTTACAATAAACTTGCATATTTGAAGTCTGAGCTTTTCTATATCTATGAACTGTCACTTGTAGTACCAAATTTCTAACTTAACTCATTACATAGAGGTTTGAATGGGGGTCTCTAGGGGGGTCTATGCCTGACAATGAAATTTTAAAAGACTATATCTGTTTTTGAATGGCATTATTATAAAATAAATTTTACGTTCCTAGACATGCTAATGAGCCATATATTTGGCATCATAATTAGCTTAAATATTAGGCAAAACATTCAAGTATTGTTCACTTCATATTTTTTTTGGAAAAAAACGTAAGCAAAATGTGTTGTTTTTACGCAAAAACGATGCCCACAAAATACATTTTGTAATGCTCTAAAACGCTGAAAATGGCATTTTAAGGCTCTGAAATTCAAAATTTCAGGATAATGCCTCAGACTCCCCAGGTGCGGAGCGGCTCGACTTTTTATGACTGATGTTTGAAAAAATCC